GTTTCCAATTTGCATTTGTGCATTTGTGGTGTGTTAAATTAGTATTCTTTACGTACTCAAATTAGAACTTATAGGAAGCCGACAAGTTCTTCGTGGGATCGACCCCGTACTTACATAATCTATACTTCAATAGATTCGTGCACTTGCGGGTATTTTTAATTGGTTGTTTGCACATTAATTTGTGTCCTCTTAGGAATGCAACATGTACTAGCCGCACGGGCGTTGAGGATTCCATCGTGTGTGTCTGGGAAAGGATTTGGAAGGTATTGCTTATGAGTTTATAATCAGCTTGAGTAGCCTGATTCCGTTGAGTTTGGATTGATGGGATTTGGGGATGTTAATGTGAGTTAAAGTTGTGGAAGAGTTGAGAAAGGATTTTGCTTTCCTATATCTTAAAGTTTACTTTTCCTTTTCCTAGACTAAGAAGGGTTTTGCCTCTATAAATAGAGCTGTTTGTAATCTTTTAAGGTAGATTCGATTAAAGATAAATTTCCTTACTTTAAACTCTCTAATTCCTTCCCTTTCCCTTTGTCTCTTCGATCTATAATTCTTCTCCTCAATCTCTTATTTCTTCTATGTTCTATTGCTTAAGTTTACTCTAATACCTACGAGCTGTTCTACATCACCTGCAAATGTTCAAAATTACCCATTTGAAATAAGTAGCAGTAGGCGACAATGGAGAGAGGTTTGGAGATCGTACGGCAACTCATCTGCTAGAGGGTCTGAAGCGACATGGTCAAGTAGATATTCATGAAATGCAGTCGGAAGAAGGTTTTATTTAGTTGCTACATATGTAGTTCCAGTTCAAGGATCCACCAATGTTTGCAATTGTTTCAGCCCCGCATCTGAATGGTAGTGACCGCCTGACCGTCAACAGCTTGAGTGACATCATGATCGTACTCGCAGGAGGGGTATAAAAAAGTTTGTCGTTTGCTTGGAAATTCGACAGATGGTCACAAGCTTTAGTGAGCCTATTGTAGTCTGAATTCCCAAAAGAGGTGATGCCTTCTTTTCGATGTGTGTATGTGTGTAGAAAAGAGGGAGGGAGAATGTGTACAGTAGAGATGATATGCGAAGACGTAAACCAGAAAGTGGTCTTCCCAGTTTGCTAGTCATTGGTATTGACGTGACAATGAGATTGGAGAATTTTCTAGTCAAAATTTTTTTTTTGGTCTGATCTAAAGTCAGAAATTAGGAGTGGAAATTTGTGTTTTTCATGCTTTGGCTTCAAACTATTTGAAGAATAATGGGAAATACGCGGCTTTACCCTGGCTCACCTAATTTATTCACTAATGTCCTTATTTTGAAATTAAATCACAAATGTCCCTTATAAAAATCCCTATTGACAGCCAATTGCCCATTCTAGTCTCTTCCTCTTCCTCTTCTTCCTTCTGCCCTCTTTCACTTTTGTTTAGTCGTTCTAAGCTCTCCTAAGTCCTCTTTGAAAATTTCTCGGTCTCACTCTCTCAGCCCTCCTCTCCTCTCTTCTCTCTCTCTCTCGCACCCACATTGGCGGCGGTCACTGTCACCTCCTCAGAAATCCTAACCCACATCGGCGACAACAACCTCACCCTTTCCACCTCCATCTCTCACTCTCTGTCACCTCTTCCATGCGTAGAGATGGCGTCTCAGGTAGCCAACTCGGCTTTTATCCTTCACATTTTGGTTTTCTTCTCCTTGTTTCAATTTCGTATATGGATTTGAATTTTTGGTGCTTAATGTGAGTTCAATCCCACCAAGTCAAATTTGAGTGAGATTGTATAGAAATTTGTTGAAACGTAATTGTGGGTTTAATTGTAATAACCCGATCCTAAATTAATATTTAATTATTAATTTATTCAAGTAAAAAACAATTTTACCATGGTAAGAGAACTTTCTAGAATTTAAAAAAAAAAAAAATCAATAGAATGCGCTGCACGCGCTTGGGTTTTTCAACGGATTTCTCGATCTTTTGGCTCTTCGTTGTACTGTGACCATTCCACCGTCCGTGGTGGCGGATGGGATATCTGAGTTTGTGTTCGCTGCTGGTGGTGGCTCGAAGGAGGGCCTAGTTGCTGGAGAGAAGCGTGGTCGTACCCAGGAGATGTTGGTTGTTGGTGGATTGGATTCTGATGTGTTTCCTCCTTCTTTGCCCCCAATTTCAATGAGCTTCAAAGATAAAGTCTTTGGAGATTTTGGGATGGTTGAGGATAAGTTTGAAATCAGTGATGATGATGTTGTAATCAAGCATGGGGCTATTCCATCCACTGAATTTTCTGAAAGGGTTGATGATTGCTTGTACAGGCCTTGGAGGACTGCTGTGATTATCAAGCTAATGGGTCGCCCTCTTTCGTATACTTTCTTGCGTGATCGTTTGCTTCGATGCTGGGAGTTGAAGGGTCCAATGAGTTTAATAGATCTGGAAAACAATTATTTCATTGTCAAATTTCTTCTTGAGGAAGATAAGAGGTATGTGCTCACTAGCGGTCCCTGGCAAATTGCTGGACAATATATTGTGACTCAAAATTGGAAACCTAGGTTTAATGCTAAAGAAGAGAGGGTTACTCACATGACAGCTTGGATTCGAATCAATGGGTTGAATGTGGAGTATTTTCGTATTGATGTTATGATGAAAATTGGAAATGTCATTGGTACAACCGCTAAGGTGGATGCGCATACTATGGGTCAAGCTCGAGGTAAGTTTGCTAGGCTGTGTGTTGAACTTGATTTATCGAAGCCTCTTATTCCCTTTATTGAAGTTGAGGGACATACTTATGGGGTTGTTTATGAGGGGATTAAGCTAGTCTGCTTTGAATGTGGTTGTTTTGGGCATGGTAGAGATACATGCCCTGTTATTGTGGAGGCTAAGCAAAAGCAGTCTGCTGAGGAAGATGCTTAGGAGAATATGGAGGGTACTCCTCCTGCTCCAAATGAGGATGTTGTTGTTGTTGACCTTGCTAATTTGGTTGCTGAGATTCCAGCTAAGATGCATGGTCAATGGATGCTATAATGAAACCGAAAAATTTCAGAAAGAAGGTTCCACATGAACAAGGGCAGTTGTTCTCTTCTACCAAGAAGTCTTATAAGGCTAGTGGTGTGAAGATTGCCACTAGCCAGTCTGGCTCCAGATTTAATATTTTGAGGGATGATGATGGTAGGGACGATGAGGATGCGGGTTTCACTCCTGGTCCTTTTGGTTCCAAGAAGCCTTCTAAATCGGTTGCTCAAGCTCCTGAGCGTGCCTCCCCCATGTCTAAGTCTTCTGGGAAACAAGCTGGCACAGTGCGTAATGTTTCTACTTGGGTGTTTAAGAAGCCTATGAGAGATATCACTAACTCAGCAGATTTTGGAATTGTTGTTAAGCCTGATTTTGGTGCTCAAAGGGTTGGGAAGAATAGGGTCGGGAGTGCTTTTAATAGCTCTAAAGGGCTTAATGCTGTGGGAATGCAAGTTCGTAGGGCTTCTGTGCAGGATGATGTTCTTGGGAAGTTTTCTTTCAATATGGAGGGGCCTTTCTTTTCCGAGTCTTCTCTAGGGAAAGGTGGGCTGCTTCATGGTCATGAACCCCCTGACATTGGTCAAAAGGTGCTCAATGAAGCTTTCTGTTTTGGTGTAAGTTTAATTTCTGAAAATATGAACCACCATGGTGACTTTGTTGATCAAGGTGATACAGAGTTTGGTAGTGATACAGCTATGGTCGTTGAACAAGCTGCCCCCACTAGTGGTGAGGTTGAGCAACTGCAGAATTAGGTTTATCCGAAGTTCTTCCCTATCCTACTTTTTTATAATGATTATTGTCTCATGGAATGTTAGGGGTGCTGGCAAGGAAAGTTGTGCTCGTACTATTAAAGATTTAAGAAAAGCTTATGCTATTGATATTTTAGCTATTCTTGAGCCTAGAATTGGCGTGGTTCTAAAGCTTTGCAAATTTATAAGAGTTTGGGTTTTTCTAATTATCATATTGTAGATGCCACTGGCTTTTCTAGGGGTGTTTGGTTGTTGTGGAATGACAACTCTATCTCTATTCAAATCATTGCTCATTCTAGTTTTCTTTCAATATGGAGGGGCCTTTCTTTTCCGAGTCTTCTCTAGGGAAAGGTGGGCTGCTTCATGGTCATGAACCCCCTGACATTGGTCAAAAGGTGCTCAATGAAGCTTTCTGTTTTGGTGTAAGTTTAATTTCTGAAAATATGAACCACCATGGTGACTTTGTTGATCAAGGTGATACAGAGTTTGGTAGTGATACAGCTATGGTCGTTGAACAAGCTGCCCCCACTAGTGGTGAGGTTGAGCAACTGCAGAATTAGGTTTATCCGAAGTTCTTCCCTATCCTCCTTTTTTATAATGATTATTGTCTCATGGAATGTTAGGGGTGCTGGCAAGGAAAGTTGTGCTCGTACTATTAAAGATTTAAGAAAAGATTATGCTATTGATATTTTAGCTATTCTTGAGCCTAGAATTGGCGTGGTTCTAAAGCTTTGCAAATTTATAAGAGTTTGGGTTTTTCTAATTATCATATTGTAGATGCCACTGGCTTTTCTAGGGGTGTTTGGTTGTTGTGGAATGACAACTCTATCTCTATTCAAATCATTGCTCATTCTAGTCAATCGATTACTGCTCTAGTGCAATTGGGGACTAATTGGTGGTTGCTCACTGTGGTGTATGCTAACCCTTGTCCAGGTATTTGTGAGTCTCTTTGGGCTTATTTCGATGGTCTTGCTCAGGCCTCGAAGTTGCCTTGGTTGATTTTAGGGGACTTTAATGACATTGTTTGTGCTGATGAAAAGTCTGGTGGCAACTTTGATTCCAGTGGATAGAATTTTATTGATTGGATTGACCGTAATCAGCTCATTGATTTAGGTTTCTCTGGAGCCAAGTTTACGTGGTGTAATAAAAGGAATGCAGAGGGTATCATTTGGAAAAGGCTTGATAGGGGTTTGAGTAATATTGCGTGGAGATTTTTGTTTCCTGAGGCCCATCTTTCTCACTTGCCTAGGGTGAATTCAGATCACTATCCTATCATGGTTAGATTGTCTTCTACTCATCTCCCTGATAAAGATTGTGTGCCTTCTCGGTTTCAAGCCATGTGGTTCACCCACCCTGAGTTTTCTGAGTTTATTACTGATCTTTGGCAGTCTAATAATGGTAATACGGTTCTTAAATCTGCTGGGCTTGTGTCCCCTCTTGTTTCTTGGAATAGGCAGGTTTTTGGTTGTTTCTTTCAAAAGAAATGAAGACTTTTGGCTAGACTGGTAGGCATTCAAAGGAAGTTATGTTTGAATTATAACTCTTATCTCAATGAGCTTGAGAATGAGTTATCTACTGAGTATAATTTGCTCCTTGAGCAGGAAGAGTTGTTTTGGTTGCAGAAGTCTAGAAATACTTGGTTGAAGGAAAGGGGTAGAAACACTCGCTTTTTTCACTTGTCTACTGTCATAAGAAGGAGGAGGAATAAACTTGAAGGTTTGAATAATGAGGCTGGAAATTGGGTCACTGATAAGATTGGAATGAAGATGATTATTGTCAATTATTTCCAAGGGTTGTTTGGTGATTCTGTTTTGGTTGATGACTATAGTTTGCTCCTCATCTTTTTTCAAGGTTGGCTGATACTGATTTAGAAGGTTTAAGTTGTGAGGTTACTGATGATGAAGTTAAAAATAGTCTGTTTGCTATTGGGGGATTAAAAACTCCCGGATCTGAGGGATTTCCTGCCCTCTTTTATCAGAAATATTGGGGGATGTGCTATGCTGATATTATTGCTTTGGTGAAGGATTGTTTTTTAACTGCTTCTCTTCCTGAGAATATTAATGAGACGTTGATTGCTTTGGTGCCTAAAATTGAGGGACATGTTTCCATGACTCAGCTTCGCCCCATTAGTCTTTGCAACACCCTCTATAAAGTTATTTCTAAGATTCTTGTTGCCAGGCTTCGGCCCTATATGGCTAGTTTGGTCAGTCCCAATCAAGTGAGCTTTGTCCCAGGGAGGCAAATTGTTGATAATATTGTTGTGGCTCAAGAAATGCTGCACAAGTTTAAAATTTCTAAAGGGGGGAAGGGTTTTATTGCTTGGAATTTTATTGCTTGGAAAGTTGATTTATCCAAAGCTTATGATCGATTAAGTTGGGATTTCATTAGAGAAGTGGTTTGGGAGGTTGGGATTTGTGGTAGAATTCTTGAGCTTTTGATGCAGTGTATTAACTCTGTGCGATATAAGGTGATTCTCAATGGTGAATTAACTGATACTTTCTCTCCTAAGTGTGGCATCGGCAAGGGGACCCTCTTCCCCCTATCTCTTTGTTTTGTGTATGGAGAAGCTTTCGCATATTATTCAGCAGTCTATTCAAGACAAGGCTTGGAAGCCTGTGCAGATCTGCCAAAGCGGCCCTTTTATCTCTCATCTATTTTTTGCTGGTGATTTGATTCTCTTTGGAAAAGCTTCAGTCAATCAGGCTATTGTTATGAAGAATTGTTTAGATGGTTTTTGTAGGCTCTCTGGTCAGAAGGTGAGTTTTGAGAAATCTATGATCTATGTTTCTCCAAATACTTCTTTTGAGTTGGCTCATTCTATTGCAACTAGATGTGGTTCCCCTCTCACCACTTGTCTTGGTAAGTATCTTGGTGTTCCTCTTATTCATACACAAGTCACTAAAGCTACGTATCAAGAGATTATTGATAAAGTCCAAAGGAGGTTATCTTCTTGGAAAAGCCATACTCTCTCTATGGCTGGTCGTTTGATCCTTTTGCAGTCTGTCACTTCTGCTATCCCTATTTATTCCATGCAATCTGCTAAATTCTGTTTCTATCTGTAAGAAACTTGATCAGTTAAATAGGAATTTTTTATGGGGGCATACTACTGATCAAGCGAAGGTTCACTTAGTTAATTGGGACACTGCTTGTAAGCCTAAATTTGCTGGTGGTTTGGGTATTAAGAATTCTGCACCGATGAATCAAGCTCTTCTTGCTAAAACTGGTTGGCATTTACTGCAATGTGAGCAAGGTCTTTGGGCTCAAGTGTTTAATGCTAAGTATCTAAGGCATTGCGATATCCTTGCTGCTAAAGATCTTCAGTTCCAGAGTAGCTCTAATGTTTGGAGGGGTATTTTATATGGTGCTCAAGTTCTTTCTGCAGGGATTAAATGGTGTGTAGGTTCTGGGGATGATATCTAAATGGCTTAGTTGTGGTCCTTTGCAGCAATTTGCTCTAATTGATTTATCTGAGGACATGCTTCAATTAAATGCTAGTGACTTTTTGGAAGATGGGGTTTGGGATTTCAATTACTTAGTGGAATGCCTGCTTATGAATATTGTCAACTTGATTCTTAGTACTCATGCTGGGTACAATGGTAGTGGGGAGGATAAATGCATCAGGCAGTCCACTTCTAATGGCCAATTTTCTGTAAAAACTGCATATAGTACCTTTTATCTGGATGAGGGTAATGCTAATTGGAAATGGGATTTTATTTGGAAGCTTCATGTTCTGCCGAAGGTTAAGACCTTCCTCTGGGTTCTATGTCATAAAAAGTTACTTACGAACGCTCAAAGATTGAAGAGAAAGCTCACTAATGTTGCTGTTTGTCCTATATGTGAATGTCCTTTGGAATCTTGTGTGCATCTCTTTAAGGATTGTACTGCCACTCTTGCTATTTGGAATAGACTTGGGTTTGGGAGAGTGGAATCTGGTCAATTGATGGATGATTATGATGACTGGCTTTTGAATAACTTGAAATTGAAGAGGTTTGTTATCCATGGCCTGCGCTGGTATTTGGTTTTTGCTATCTTTCTTTGATTTATATGGAAATGGAGATGTAAAGTGGTCTTTGATCATAATTTTCTTTTGCCTGCTGAGCCTCATCTATTGATTTATCAATTTGCTTTGGAGTGGTTTTCAGCTTGTAATCCAATGGCTTTTCTCCCTGAGCGTAGTGTTGTTCATCTCCATTGGATGGCCCCTCTTCCTGGTGTTTGTAAAATCAACACTGATGGTAGCAGAATTAATTCCTCTTGTCTTATTGGGCTAGGGGTTTGTTAAGAGATTCTTGTGGGAGTTGGATCAAGGGTTTCTCTATGAATCTAGGCTAAGGTTCCATCATTGAGGCTGAGTTATGGGGGCTTAATATGGCTTGGGATGCTGGTTTTCGCATGGTGGAGACTAAGTGTGATGCTACTTCTGCGGTGACTTTGTCAAAAAGTCCTACTGTGTCAACACACCCTCTCTTTAGTATTATCAATTGTTGCAAAATGAAGATTCATGAGGATTGGTGTTGCTCTGTGAAGCATATTTTCCATGAACAAAACTGTGTTGCGGATGCCTGTTGGAATTTTAAAAGGTTTTAAAAATTTAACCGTTTTATTTAATTAATTATTTTGGCTGTTTTATTTGATTTATTGTGGGGGTTATAAATATTTAATATTCATGTTTTATTTCTGGTTGGTGAATGCCTTAATTTTTGGTTGGTGAACTTTTATGGTTGGTGAAGGTTACTTGTTTGGATGCCTATAAAAGGCCACTCCTCCTTCACATTTGAAACACACACATTATACCATCAGAATATCACATACCACAATCACCACCATAAACTGATTCTCTCCTTTTCTACTTTTATATATATTCTCTACTTTATATTATTATTTTGGCAATGGTTCTGTGACTTGGATACCCATATCCGTCTATGAACGTGCTCATAGCGGATCTTGAGTTTGTGTACAAGGGGTCGTATCTTGGAGTCTTGTAGACCGTCAGTACCTGCACGTAGGGAGGCTACAAAGGCTTTAGGACAGCGTCTTTGACGTGCTTCACCGTACCAAACTCACCTTCTTACTTATTATTTATTTTCCTTTTACTTACCTATTATTTTGTTTTCTTCAATTTCATTATACCTTAAAAGCTTTCTTATTTATTTATTATAACATTATTTATAATATAATGTTTTGTGTTTGGCTTTACGGAAAAGAAAAACTATATTTTGTATATATTTTTTATAACAATGCCATGGCTGCGAAGAGTTATAATTTTGGTCCGGGCCTCCATGTGTTTTTGGAGGCTCCGGCCTTTCTTAATACCATGTTAGCTGCTGATGTTTGAGGTTTTGCTAGACCTTGTCTAGTTTCAGTTTAGTTTCTTTTGGTTTGGGGCTTTAGCCCCCTTCTGTACCAAAAAAAAAAAAAATTTTACCCTGGGAATATTTTAATAGTTTAAAAGTTGACTTTTTGTTTGGGAAGGAATCTAGGGATGTTAGTAGTACTGTTGCATAGAGCACACCGAGATGAGTCCGTAGACATGTAGTGGGCTCAAGTCGGAGTTGTAACGAAGAAGTTATGATCTATGGAAGTCCAATGGCATAATCGTAAATATTTCGAAATCAATTTTTTAAAAACCCTGCCATCTTTCTCTCTTTTTCCAGATTCAGCCCCTATCTCCCCATTTTCGCAGCAGATTTTCAGACGGAGATATCTTCGCCGTCCGGCCACCAATTCCGGCTCCACAACTTGCAAACTCTTCACCTCTCTCTCCTCTTCACATTCATACAAATTTCCAGCCCCCAAATCCAAGGAATTAAACTCAAAATTCGAGCCAAAGTGAGCCCAAAATCGGGCTGTTTCAAAACAATCACTTTCGAGGGCTTTTCCGGCCAACTCCGGCCACCACCCGCCACCAAATTACTCCCAAAACACTCCCCTACCTCCCCTATGTGATTTCCCCTTAAACACCTGACCTAATTTCATGTAGAATTGACAAAATTAAACCAAGAAATTTCTAGGTTTTTCAAGGGACAAAATCGTTCGTTTGAGGGCTTTAATGGTGTAATTAATCTTCGAGCCAAGGTATGGGTTCGATATGTTGAGACTGTTGGATCAACTTCATTGTCAAATATGTTGATCTAGGCACCTCTAAGATCGTATAGGAATTTGCAGATCGAGAATCGGAGTCTCGGATACTCCGATTCAATAATTCGAAGTTTAGGTAAATGTTAACCGTTCGATCGTGTGATCACGAGCGATCCGACCATTCGATTCGGACCAAACTTGTAGGGCATGTTTAGTAAAGTGTGTTGAACCTATAGGAACTCTTGGATTGGTAATCAGAGGTCGGGGGCCCCACAGGATAACGGGTTGACCATTATGGGAAATTAATTGCTTATTTAACCTCGGGTCTTTTCAGACCATTCTACCTATCAGAAATGTTGAAAATGGGCCTAGGAACTTTCTTAAATTATGTACACACACTTTTGAGGCCGGGGGTTAAGGTTTGATTAAATATTTGTGGTTGAGCTATATTATTAATTAAATAATTTTAATCGCTTAAATAGGTACTCGGGCTTCATTGAACCCGCACGAAGGACCCTCGAAGGGTCAGGCTAGCTCGGACGCACAGTGAGTGGATATTTGTTTTCTAAATAGTTTTAAGAAATTCTTGAACTATGGTTATTAATTGTGTTGCTTATGGAATTGATAATTTATGATTTCGAATATTCTAAATAGTACTTTATGCATGTTCAAATTTAGTTTGAGAACGATTTTGAAGGATTTTTCCTGATTGATTTAAGTTAAGGATTTTTGAGTTATTTTTCATGATTCGAATATATATATGGAGATTCCTTGGCATAACATATTTTGCAAGCATACAGTTTTGGGAAGGATATGTTTTGCAGAAGAAAGTCAGGTTGAATTATATTATATTATAATATGGAGTTTGGATTTACAATTGTTTCGAGTAATGATTTCTATATATGTAAAGATGGATTTCATTGCATGGTTTACATCGTTTTTCTAAAACGGTGGGGTTAGTATGTTCGGATATAACTTATGTTAAAATTTTATTTTTGTCCACTCACATTTTCTCTGTTTTGCACCCCCCCACCCCCCCAATATATAGTTAGCTGAGGTCCGCCACTATACGTCAAGGCATCATCGGCATTCGTTCCACCACCTTCTATGATTTTCCTTGTTTCTTCCCTTACCCCGTTCTGTTGAGTTGTAAATTAAATCTTTAATTGCTCTGAGTTGCTTGTTTTAAGTTTAGGTAGAGGGCCTGAGGTCCATTGAATCATCCTAGCTGTCTTGTGTGCCTTTACCTTTGTGCTTGTTGAAAGTGGGGATTATTTTGTGCTTAACTGCAGATGTTTGTAATTTGGGAAATGTTCCAATTACAAAGGAGACTTTGCCGAATCTTGATAGAAGTCAAAATCGATTTTTTGTTAAAAATAAGAGAAAATGGCATTTTAATAAAATGAGTTCGGCATCTGCCGGATGTGGGACAAAAACATGATTTGTCACAGATTCTAAGGGAGATTTCAGGGCGGGTTCTGTCAAGAAGTGATCCATTACTTGCAAGGGTACACATTGGCCAGAAGTGCTAAACCACTTCTTCCCTTATTATAGCTACATGTAGCTAAACCCATATATGAAACATTGTCGTTGTATGTACCTATTTACCTAAAAGCATTTGTTGATGAGGAAAGTACTTGATAAATCCTTCTTTAGGAAAGCACTTTTAGAGTGTTGTTGTATAGCCTCAAAAAAGCAGTTTTGTATATTCCTACCATGTTCCATATACGAGATAGTTTATAATATATATTTGCACTAATAATACGGGTGGTGTAGGAAAGCTAAAGTTGGAGATTTATTATCGCTACCCTTTGAAATTGGTTTTTAGTTATTTGAAAGCCCTTAAATATATATATACAATGACACTTGAAATGATGTACCTATCACAAAACATCCTTAAGATTTACGAAACTATCATATTGCATCCTTAATGTTTTTTTGTGTCATTCGTGGTCCTCAAGGTTAGTATATGTGATCACAAATGGTCCTTGCCGTTAGGTTCTATCAAAAACTCCGTTAGTTTGCTGACGTGGGATATATATATATCACAAAATATCCCTGAGGTTCACGCACCTATCACAAATGGTCCCTGCGAATTTTTTTAATTTTTTAATTTAAAAATATACATTGTATTTTAAATACACGTGACACTATATTATTGGAGATGTGGGCTCCACATATATGCCACATCAACAAACTAATGGAGTTTTTTTTTCGGTATGAACAAACTAATGGAGTTTGTAAAAAATAATTCAAAATTTATAAAACTTAAAAATGAAAAAACCAAGGGTTTAGGGTTCATAAATGGTCCTTAAGATTAAAATCCTTCAATAAATGGTTTTTTCATTTTTAAATTTTATGAATTTTAAATTATTTTAAAAAAACTTCATTCGTTTGTTGATGTGACATATATGTGGAGCCCACATCTTAAAAAAAAAACTGTGTCACGTGTATTTAAAATACAATATATATTTTTAAATCATTTAAAAAAGAAAACCCAAATTTTATGAAATTTAAATTAAAAAATTAAAAAAATTCACAGAGACCACTTGTAATAGGTGCGTGAACCTCAGGGATGTTTTATGTTGTATATGCCATGTTAGCAAACTAAAGGAGTTTTTGACGGAATCTAACGGCAGGGACCATTTGTGATCACAGATACTAACCTTGAGGACCACGAATAACACAAAAAAACATTAAGGAAGCAATCTGATAGTTTCGTAAACCTTAGAAATGTTTTGTGATATTAAGCCTACTTTTTATTAACTTGGTTGGGACATTTTGGTAAAATGTATGGTTAATTATGGTTTACTTTTCAACTTTTCTCTAATATTTAACTAAAACATTAGTAGTTAATCAGAAATTCCTGTGAGATTTAGTATTATTTAATCTCAAATCTCCCACATCTTTCAAGACCAAAAGTAAGAAAGAAAATAAAATAAAAAACTATGTCATTTCTAT